ACACGAACACACGCATACATACACACATATTAACACTAGTAGAGATTGTTAAAAGATATTTATAAAAGATTTAACATGATATAACATATGTCCAAGAAAATGGTATTTGCAAAAATAGTATTAATATAAATATATAGATAGTTGATCTATGATTACAAAGAGTTTTGCATACAGCTGGTTAGTATTTATATAAATTATTGAACTCTAATATCTTATTATAGCATTATCGTACTATAATATACATACCCGATCCTCGTTATCACCACAAGTCTCTAAATTGCGTTGACAGTGAGAAATTTTATCTACAATAGACATCCTGCAACTACGACTACCAGCTGTTAACTACTAATATTGCTTGCAAAAAAGACTAGACACCCAAACGCGAATGAATACAAACAATTCTCTGAGGCACTCCGAAGGCGAGATAAAAGGCAATAAGTGAGCATACGTGTGGTTTAGTTACAGCACACAGCTCTGCACACAACTGCACACCTCATGTAAAGACGAATTTGCATAATGCTATTCTCAGAAAAATCGATCGATCACCTTAAAGCTAAAGAAGCAATTGGAAGCACTAATACCGCGTTTCTCGTACGTACGATTGGTTCATTTCTTCAAAGATTAAAAAAAAGAATTTACGTTTATGCCAACTTGATTGTACACAGCTTTTTATGGCCGCAGTACAGACTCTTGCATAACGCACAATGCAATGGGGCATAAGGCAATCATCCAATCAAAATTCTTTTTTTCCATGAAATCGGAGAAAAGGAAAGATTTTGATTGGTTGATTCGCTTATGCACTATGCGTTAAGCGGCGTCTACAATGAGACTTTAAGGCATAAAACTTAAGCTTTAAACCTTAAGCCGTAAAAAAATGTCCAATCATAGTCGATTATTCTTCTCACATTTGACTGTGATTGGTCAATTTCTTAAGACTTAAGGCTTAAAGCTTAAGTTTAACGTCTTAAAATCTCATTGTAGACGCCGCATTATGTGATAAGGGTTCACACATGAAATGCATAACAGAGCATAAGCCTACAATAAGGCCACTAAACCAATGAGCATCTTATGTAAATCAATATGGCGACTTAATGCTGGATGCTCATTGGTCCAGCGGTCTTATGTTATGTTTATGCTCTATTATGCATTTCATGTGCGATAGGCTTTAAGTTTTTCTATGTGCGAAGGCCTTATGGCCGCAGCACACACTCTTGCATAACGCATAATACATAGTGCATAATGGAATCAACCAATCGAATTCTTCTTTTCCATGGAATGAGAGGAAAGGAAAGCTTCTGATCAGTTGATTCGCTTATGCACTATGAGTTATGTGTTATGCAAAAGCTTGTAGGCCGCGGCATAGACTAATGGAATCAACCAATCGAATTCTTCTTTTCCATGGAATGAGAGGAAAGGAAAGCTTCTGATCAATTGATTCGCTTATGCACTATGAGTTATGTGTTATGCAAAAGCTTGTAGGCCGCGGCATAGATTTTTGCGTAAGTCCGAATCTACAATAGATTTTTAAGCCTTAAGTCATAAGAAATGGGCGAATCACAATCGATTATTCCCCTCGGATTCGATTGTAATTGGTCAATTTCGTATGGCTTAAAGCTTAAATCACCTGTTGTGGATCCGGACTAATGCATAAGGCATAACGCATAGCGTAACGTGTAGCAACGCACAAGCTTATACATAAGCTTGTACTATTTGGAATGTCTCAATGGGAAATAAGATAATATTATATAATTATACAATATCATTATATTATATAATTTTGTAAATAATGACAAATACGTCATATTCCTATCTGGGATGTCTAAACGTACTTATCTATCAGGGGTGATCCCGATTGATCACGGCTCGATTGGACACCACCAATCTCAGCGACCGGTGCTTAGGAGCTTTGTAGTCTCAAGCGCTGTGAGTGGCTC